CGGCGAAATGGGCAAGAAACGGAGGCGTCTGGAGGCGATGTTTAAGCTCCTGAAAAGTGTGTTGCTGTGGCATTTCTCACTTGAACTCCATGTCCGCCTTGGTAAGGTTAGTGAACGGATTGGCGATGCCGGCGTAGTTTTTCACAAACCGCTTATAAGAGGCGCACAGGCCCAGAAATCGGCGCACCTCCTTATTGTCAGTGGGCGGCCAGAAGTTGGCGATGGCGGCTGTTTTCCTGTGGATCTGGGCGAACTCCAGACTTGCTAATCATGTGCGTCAGAAACAAGAGCTCATCGTACGCAAATCTGTACTTTTCTGGCTTCAGTGTGAGTCCAGACGTCTTGATGGCTTGAAGCACAGCTTCAAGGCTCCGGAGGTGCTCGTCAAAACTCGACGAAAACACGACGACGCCCATGTACACAAGGCAAGTTTGCCACGTCAATCCTGTCAGTACTGTATTCATAACGCGTTGAAAAGTTGCTGGCGCTGAGCAAAGACCGAAGGGCATCACCTTAAACTCGAAGAGGCCGTCCGGTGTTTTAAACGCAGTCTTCTCGGTCTCTTTCGTCGACTTCGATTTCCCAATAGCCAGTCTTGAGGTCCATTTACGAAAACTACTTGGCGTTATGGAGCCGATCAAGTGCGTTGTCTATTCTTGGGAGAGGATACACGTCCTTTCTTGTGATTTTGTTCAGGCGGCAATAATCGACGCAGAAACGTAGGGTCCCATCCTTTTTCTTCACTAACACCATGGGGGGGACGCCCATGGACTCTTGGACGGCTGGATGATGTCATTCTGCAGCATTTCATCAACTTGTCTCTTCATGGCCTCACGTTCTCGGGTCGAAACCCTGTGCAAACTCTGATGGAGTGGTCTGGCATTTCTTCGGTTATGATGTGATGTTTTGTGATTAGGGTCTGCCGAATTTTCGATGTACGACGAAAAGCAATCTTCGTATTGCAGGAGCAGAGCCTTGAACTGTTCTTGCTTATGGTTCGGAAGTCTTATGCATCGCTGGATAACTAATGTCTGCTGACGAAGCTGAGGTGTCTTAGCAGCATCGCGTATTTCCGCCCTCTTCCCACATTTGCTGCTGCAGTCTTCCAGGACATATCTCCAGGTATTGAAACCGCCGACGATCATTTTCTGAGGCGGGGCCACCAGCATCCTACCAGGCCAATCATCGAGACTTCGCCCCGTCATGGGCAACACGCTTGGCAGCCAATTCAGTGAAGAAAACTTCCAAAACTCGTCACCAGCATCTGACCGCAGCTTGATGCCTCCGCCTGCCACACGAGCCCTGCGTTCTTTGTCACGGCGGTGGTGCCTTCTATTCTCACATCCGGACAACTAGGCAGTGCGGCCGATGGGGTGAGTTCGCTGGATACTGTACGTTGCCAAAAGATATTTCTCCGACAGCCTTTGTGCTCAAAAACAAAGTTCATGTGCGTGCGGATGGTGTTCAAACTATGGCTCTTGTAGACGCTGGGACAACGATTATGGTGATGAGCCTGAATTTCAAAGGTTTACTTGGACAAAAAGTGGTGTTTCGCTGGAACAATATGATGACATTTAGTAGTGTTAGTGGTAACGCGTTATGCCCGGTTGGTGTTCGCACTGCCAATCAATGTTTTTGTGGCACAGTATTCACCACTGAATTCGCCATTATTCTTAAATCGACGCATAATGTTATTTTAGGGATAGATATTTTGCGGGAGTGCGGTGCAACTGTGGACTGTTGAAGTGGGGAGCCATCGGTAAACGACAAAATGATGACTGAACTTGTTGAAAGCTGTGCACGCTAAGAAAGTATCTCCTGTGTTGCAGAGTATGTTGTCGTGTCCGCACAATCTAGCATCTGGGTTCCTGTCATTTCTTCTGGCACCATTACCACAACATTTGAAGCCGCAGCGAAACCGCTTCACTAGGCCTGTGCCAAGAAGAATGTTTTAGTGCAGCATTGCTTAGTGGCAATAGTTGAAGGACGTTCTGAATTATGGACGATAAATTGCATGTCCCAACCTATATTTCTACCTTCTGGCATGAAGCTAGTGCTGTTCAGGGAGGAAGCACCAACTTTACTGACTGTACTCGAAGCTTCTGCAGACGATTCCCTCCATCCGTGCTCTTCGAACTAGAATGTAAATTAGATGGTGAGAGAGTCACATAGCACCAGTTAGCGCCACACGCTACTCAGTGATTTAACCAAGCACTGTCAAGTGTTTGACTTCTTTCTAAACGATATCAGATTTGGGTGCACGTTAAAGAACCCCAGGTGGTCTAAATTTCCGGAGCCCTCCACTACGGCGTCTCTCATAATCATATGGTGGTTTTGGGACGTTAAACCTCACAAACCAATCAATCAATCAATCTTTCTAAACGATAAAACTTCCCTGATTGCAACTTCTTGAGTCTGGGATCATATTAATACAGGGTCAGTATATCCTATACAACAGAAGCCGTACCGCTATTACTAGGGGAACGTAAAATAATTGGTGAGCAAGTCCGGGAAATTTTGCAGGATGCTTCGAATATTCGAACGAATAGTTGAGTATTCGAATTCGCTCCGATTCGAATTAAAAGAATTTAAATTATCGAATATTTTCGAAGTATTCACAATGAACGAATAGATGTATATTAGTCTGCATGTAGTTGCCTGTAAAGGTGAGCTTACTGCAATGTAGGAGTGATAAGCCATGAAAGCACCTATTTAAGTGAAATTCGCTTTGCCGCTAAGTGCCCATTTAAATTTCAAGGGGCCCTGCAACACTTAAAAGCATGGTCAGAAAACGCTGCCGCTCAGTAGTCGAGGCTACCGGTAACACGCGAGGCAAATATTATAGCGCAGCACGTGTCCTGTAATTCACAATAAATTCTCAAAGCTAAAAATTGCTTTCTTTCCTCGGCAAGTGACACCACAAGCTCAAAAATTCCTTGTCACAGCCAATAAATAATATACGACTTTGGTCACAGCTATTGGCTGAATTGAGCATGGTGTGTTTGTCGTTACCGGGGCAGCCACGGGAGGCCACAGCTTGTCCACGAGTACATGCACGATCGCACTGAAAAGCTGAGCATTTGGAGAAAAAAATATTCAGTGCTCAAGGTCGCGAGACGCATGTGACGTATTTTCTTTCACTGTGCCATTGCTCTCTGCTTAGTAGCTTCCAGCTATTTCGTAGGGATGAGAAGAGAGATGGCAATTGCAGCGTACGACAAATTTTTGGAACTCCACTCCTACTGGACTGATTCTAGAAACTTTGTGGCGGTAAATTTGTGAGGCAACATGCATGTTTACTGGCTCCATGGCTACTTGAAAAAGTGTTGCAGGGCCCCTTTAAAAGAACATGTTACCCTCAAATCAATTCTTTATTTCATTAAGCTTGTTATGACCACTTATATGTTCCAAGTATAATAAATTTTAAAGCATTAAGTATCTTACAGGTTATCACTCACATCCTATCAGAACTACTACTCAAGGCTGTTTCGACTTCCTTTGAACAAACAAAAATTGCATTTGCATACAGTCCCTATTTCAATTCAAAAGAAATTTTGTGCTGGTTAGTGTAGTTACGATAAATATTCCTCTTTTTTTTTATATGTCATACTATTCGAATTCGATTCGAAATTATTCGATCAAAATCACAATTCGCTTCAAATTCGCTTTGAACCTAAAATTCACTATTCGCACAAGCCTAATTGTAATCTGTAGACAGTTTCCCCTAAGGAGCCAATTGCTGTTGGCTGCGAAATTGCATGAATGCGAAGTGACTCGGTGGACTCGTCGCAGTGTACGCATTCTCTTTTTTGTTTGCTCATGCATGATGGCATGGGAGCCCGAAAAGCAGGGCATTCGAGATTCGCAACCCACTAATGTATTTTTGACGTTTTTGGTTATAGAATACGCATCTCGGAGGCTACAGTTTTTCTTGCTGTTACAAAGCCTCTAGTGCCATCGCCAAGATATCAGTGGTAATGTACATGGTCATTTGCGAACAGAGTTGTCACTTTTGGCTTGTGCACTTCAGTAGTTCTCGCTTGATTACTGCTGAGTCTTACATCAAGTATGTATTGAACAAAACATTGCATCACTCATAGCGATAAAAATGATAACTGGGGCTTCGAATGACGTCAAGGAAGGCACGGTCTTGTACAGTTTTCTCGTGAACTTTGGCCACAGGTGACTAGTGCATCATCTTAAGTGACAATAGCCTGTGGTACCTCAGTGAATTTGTCTACTTATTAGGCACCTCAGACAGGACTACAGAAAGCGACTTCATGTGTTCAAATGATTACATCGCTGTTTCTGACTGAATAGAGTATTGTTGCTGATATCATGCCTGACGTTGCCAGGGCAGAAGAAGTAGACACGTGTGGTTATGAAGCCACGGCTAAACAACATTTTACTGCACGACAGAGCTTGCATCAGCATTCACAGCCAATCACCGTTGTTGTGGCTGTAGGGGCTGAATTCGCTTAGCTTGAAAGCTTCGATGCTCGATTAATGGAGGATGAGTTCACAAACATCACGGTGCAAAAAGCGCAAGACTAGTTTGCACATTTTTCTCACTTGAAAAAAAGCGCAGTAACTTGCAAAAGCAGTTATCAGGTATTCTTAAGCATACGGTGAATGAATTGTCATCTTAACGGTTATGAGGATTTCCGAAAGCCGTTTTTGGCAGTCACAGTGCATTAATATAAGCCAAAATTATGCATATTTATTATATTGCATTATTGATATATCAAACTTCTGTGACCCCTTTCAAGTTCAATATATCTGCAATTGACTGTAATAAAGGCAAAATGAAATTCGCAACTCAACACAACATATAATTTGACCAATGAACATGATGCTACACCTGTTTGTCTCTCATTTACATGCTTGAGTGAGTGGTCAGTGTCACGGATGATTTATGCTAAGACCGAACAATACCACTTCTTCGCCTACTCATCATTATCCGCTTCGTGAATATGGCACAATTTTTCTTCATGTTGCAGTATGCAAAGGGAACAGACGGTCGAGCCGTGCAATCTCAGGTGCCCCAAAGCCATAGACGAGACACCGCAGTTGCTGTGCACACGTTGTCTTTGCCTGTTTCATCCAGTGTGCGTTGGAATGACAAATAGCCATCCAGCTGCTGCCAAGGGGCGTTTTATCTGCAAGGTACTCCTGTCATCCTACTCACGCATCAGACTATCTGTGACACATAAGCCCTGTTTGCCAGTCTGTCCCATTTGCTCACTGATTTCATGTCAACTCATTTGTAGTGCTGTCAGAGGCATAGCTTGGCACACTCACTCATGAGTACACTCACTCACACTCATTTCAATGAGGTGACTTTGAGTGAGTACTACTAATGAGTGTCAGTAGTCGTGGGCATGAACGCGAGTGAGTACTCAAGAGGGTCGGCAGGCATGAGTATGAACATGAGTGAGTGATGATGAGTGTGAGTAGTCGTGATTATGAACGTGGGTGAGTACTCAAAAGGGTGGGTAGTTGAGAGTATGAACGTGAATGAGCACTCATGATGGTGAGTATAAGTAAGTGTGAACATGAGTGAGTGCTTATGGGTTTGAGTCCATGTGAGTATGAGTTGATGTGAGTGGAAGATGAGTGAACATAAATGAGGTTGGGTAGCAGAGTATGAACATGAATGAGTACTCATGAGTGTGAGAGTACATCTTTTTCTTCCATTGTGACCGTATTTGCATGCCACCACTATCGTGCGCTACAGTGACGGCAACGCCGAAAAAGCGGCAGAACTACGACGCGAAGAACTTGGCGACTAAAGTGGAACTTTTGAAAGCACTGAAGAACGGCGAATCGCGACAGCAGGTTATGACCAAGTACAGGAAGCGGAGCACGTTGGAAACGTACGTGAAAAATGAACAACAGATTCGACAAGCCTTCGAAAGCGAGAAGTTTCATGCCTCTAGAAAGCGTTTCATGCCTCTAGAAAGCGGTTGCGAACCGCAGCTCATCCCCAGCTCGAAGAAGCTTTGCTCCGGTGGATTACTGACTGTCGCAACACGCATCTGCCTTTGAGCGGACCTCTCATCATGGCGCAACGTGAGAAGTACGCTGCAATGATGAACATTGAATCGTTCAAAGCGTCAGAAGGGTGGTTTGCGAGGTTTCGAGAGAGACACGAACTTGTCTTCAGGAGTGTGTGCAGCGAAAAGGCCAGTGTTGACGAAAGCGTGACCACCAAGTGGAGAAATGTGAAGCTGCCGGAGCACATCGCCGCATATAAACCACGTGACGTGTTCAATGCAGATGAAACTGCTCTATTTTTCAGAGCTCTGCCCAACAAGACGGTGACTTTCAAAGGGGACGCGTGCATTGGTGGCAAGAAGTGCAAGCAAAGGATAACTGTGCTTCTTGCCGCCAATATGACTGGTACGGAGCGCTTGCCACTACTTGTCGTCGGGAAGGCGCTTAAGCCACGTTGTTTTAAGAACGTCAAAAGCCTTCCTGTCGAGTACACAGCGAACAGGAAGGCGTGGATGACATCGGACATTTTTCGCGGCTGGCTGCAGCAGTTGGACCGGCACTTCACGTCGAAGGACCGCAAGATAATTATAGTTGCTGGCAACTGCAGTGCCCATAACTGTACAGTCGAACTGAAGAGCATCAAAGTAGTTTTTTTGCCGCTCAACACTACGTCTGCTCTTCAGCCGATGCACCAGGGTATCATTCACTACGTGAAGGCGAAGTACCGCAAGCATCTGCTAGAGCGAATAATCCTATGCTCAGAAGCTGGAAAGTTGTATCAAGTGGACTTACTCGGCGCAGTGCACATCATCGCTTACGTAGTGGAAAAACACTCCATCGCAAGTCATCGCCAACTGTTTTCGGCACAGCGGTTTTGTGAGGCCCGAGCATGCAGCAGTAGCTGACGATGGCATCGAGGAGGTGTCAGCCGAGTCCACCGACGATGACTGCCCAACTTTTGATGCTGTCCTTCCCACAGATGTGACCTTTCAGGACTACATCGCGATTGATCATGGTGTCGCCACGAGTGGTCTCCTGACCGATCAAGAGATTATTAATGATGTCACGGGCGCCCATGAAGACTACGATTCCGACGAAGAATCATGCGAGGAGATACAGCCGCAACCTCATCGCGCCTCACGGGAAGTCTCGGAGGCGCTGTTAATATTAGAGGACGCTTTCCTCAACACTCCCTGACAGCTTGCCTGCTGTTGGCCATTTGGAACAGTTAGGAAAAATTGTGATGTCAGCCGGAATCTGCGCGAAAACGCAGACGACAATTACAAAATACTTCAAGAAATAAAGGTATGCTTCCGCAGCTTGATTTTAAATGTTGTTTTCCCTGTTCATTCGCTAATTCGGCATTCGGGTAATTCGGATTCCGACCGACCGACCGACCGACCGACCGACCGACCGACCGACCGACCGACCGACCGACCGACCGACCGACCGACCGACCGACCGACCGACCGACCGACCGACCGACCGACCGACTCCTGTAGGTAGTTGAAATTTCCAGAGCCCTTCACTGCGGCATCTCTCAAAATCATATAGTGGTTTTGGGATGTTCAACTCCACATATCAATAAATCACAATCCTAATCATATCAATAAATCAATATGCTACCATAGTGCTTCATAAAGAAAGCAACAAAATACCAATCAAGAAGGGTGTAAGGCAGGGGGACACGATCTCCCCAATGCTATTTACTGCGTGCTTACAGGAGGTTTTCAGAAGCCTAGAATGGGAACAGTTAGGGATAAGAGTTAATGGAGAGTACCTTAGTAACCTGCGCTTCGCCGATGACATTGCATTGCTGAGTAACTCAGGGGACGAATTGCAACTCATGATTACGGAGTTAGACAAGGAGAGCAGAAAGGTGGGTCTTAAAATGAATCTGCAGAAAACGAAAGTAATGTACAACAACCTCGGAAAAGAGCAGTGCTTCGAGATAGGTAATAGTGCACTTCAAGTTGTAAAAGACTATGTCTACTTAGGGCAGGTAATAACTGCGGAGCCGAACCACGAGATTGAAGTGACTAGAAGAATAAGAATGGGGTGGAGCACATTTGGCAAGCACACTCAAATAATGACAGGTAGATTACCACTACCCCTCAAGAGGAAGGTATATAACAGCTGTATCTTGCCGGTACTTAGCTACAGAGAAGAAACCTGGAGACTTACAAAGAAGGTTCAGCTTAAATTGAGGACGACGCAGCGAGCAATGGAAAGAAAAATGGTAGGTGTAACCTTAAGAGACAAGAAGAGAGCAGAGTGGATTAGGGAAAAAACTGGGGTTAAGGATATCATAGCTGAAATCAAGAAGAAGAAATGGACATGGGCCGGGCATGTAGCGCGTAGACAGGATAACCGCTGGTCATTAAGGGTAACTGACTGGATTCCCAGAAAAGGCAAGCAGGTTAGGGGGAGACAGAAAGTTAGGTGGGCAGATGAGATTAAGAAGTTTGCGGTTATAAATTGGCAGCAGCAGGCACAGGACCGGGTTAACTGGCAGAACATGGGAGAGGCCTTTGTCCTGCAGTGGACGTAGTCAGGCTGATGATGATGATGATGATGATGATGAAGTTGATTTATGTAGCAGTGTCCCGGGCAGGCACCTTCACGAGCATCAGCGCTTCATATCAGCTTCTGGTGTTGCTAATATGCATGTTCCAGTTGGCATTGTTGCTCAAGTGCAAAAAACTGGTTATATAAAGATCTGCAACTTTTTAACATATGTATGTGTGTGCAACATTTGTACATTAATTTAGCGACATTTCCTGACGTGTTGCTCAATAAAAAAAATTGCAGCACGGTCCGTGTTGCTCAATAAAAAAATTGCAGCACTGTCACCTTTCTTCCGCATGCTTCGCATAACGTAAACTCTCGGGTAAGTGGGATCTGCCGTTTTTTTTTTTTCTAACCTTTCCTCATTCAGATCGTGTCTTGAATGCAAAAGAACTAGCCCAGCTCACTGCTCTTATGTGCATGCCTTCCAGTGTCACTGCTCTCAGCATCTTATAAAATGTGCCACAACATTTTTTGTTTTGTCGCTTCCTTTCCCTTTATGCAGGCTTGCACTAAGAAGCCTTACAAGGCTTCAGGAATGTCAGGGAGCACGGAACAGGCTTCTATATCGGAAAACACCACTGCAAGTTCCAAGAACACAAGTTATAAGCCTGAAGTTACGTTGTTGCGCATTTCAAAAGAAAATACGGCAAAAACAATGCCTTCCAAGGCTATTGCTTCTTCAACAGCAGCACCAGTGAACACACAGTGTCTTAGTTTTTCAACCACATCAACAGTGACTTCCACAGTGCCTTCCTCCTTGTCAGACTCGCCCGTGGGGGTCAAAAGTACACTTGCATTGAGCTCGAGCAGCAGCATCTCTGTGCCTGTATTTCACGTAGTGTCTAGTGGCCCAAGACCTTCCACTAGTGGCACACCCTTAAGACATGTGGCTCAACGTCCTCGCCTGCCATTCCTGCTACCTGCTCCTGTACCACCAATGACTAGCGGCAACGTAAAAGAGATGCCTGCCCTAAAAGTTCAATCCAAGGGTCCCCAGAACCTTACAGTGGTTCCAAGTGTCTACTACACAATCCAGGTGACTCAGAAGCCTGGCAGCATAAATGGCGAGGAGCTGAAATCTCTGGTCAATCAACTGGTTCAGAAGCATCCGGAAGAGCTGAACAAAATGGGCAGTGGGGAAACGATTGTCCTTCAGACACCTTCACTCTCATTGCAGGCAGCAAAGACTGTGCAACCAGCTGGCTCCCCTATAATCGTCAGGGAGCATCCAATGGCAAGATTGCCTGTCATGGCCAATGTTCAAGCAGCAAATCTCTCAGTCACTTCCACACATCCTTTGATTGCAACAGAGGCAGTTACTGCGGGGCCACTTCCCTCAAATTTTGTAGAAGCTGTCCTTGGCGATGGTGGCCAAACACTTCCAGCACGGCACATTGTGGCAGGGAAAAGCTTGCTTCGCGCTCCACGAAATATCGGGAACGTAACGGTCATGTCAACTGTGGCCCTGCAGAAGCAAGCAATACCACTGCAGGACACCACATGTGCTGCCACAACAATGGTGCCATCTTCTCAACACCAATGCCTCGTCGGAGTTGGTGTGCCAACAATAGGGCCACAGAAGCCTGTGTGCAACATTTCTAGTGTTCCAGCTGTGAGTGTTGCAAGTGCACAGTGTCCAGTAACTTCAGGCACACCTCAAACCAGTTGTGGAAAAGAGATTGTCCCAAAATTGGAAGTTGCAGCACAGCAATCGGCCCTTGAGGAAGAGAGTTTCTCTATGGTGAGTCTTTATGGTGCTGGTGGTACCAAATGAACCTCTACTTTTTTAAAGCATTTGCCTGGCAATTGTTTTCTAAAACAAGTCTTACTTTTGCATAATTTGAAAAATGTAGCTAATCCTACTTTTTTCAATTATGTGTTCTGTGTAACTAAGTTCCTCCTTATTGACAAGCAGTTAATTATACTATTGTAATATTTGCATAAATATATCTTCTCGGAGGGGCATGGGGGCTTGGTTCAGGCCTGCAGAAATGTAGGTTCTACTAATCAAGAAAAAAAATTATATCTTTTTAGGAAATAATTGGCATTGACTGTAAATTTCCAGAAGCTCGCTGCAGAAACTATGCAGAGACAAAAAACTTGAGAAAGTTGAGAAAAAAGTTGAGAAATCTAGAAATCGGAACGGAAAAGCGGCAATAAGTTTCAAACGCGAGTTAACGTGACCGCATTTGGTGAAAAAAGGCTGTTTTAGCACTGTGACAAATACGTACCCATGAAGGCGCATTTATGTTCCTGATAACACAGCTCTAATGGAGGAAATCTTCGACACTGTAACTCAGTTGAAAAACATCTGTCTATATTTGCAGATAAACTCAAAAATGAATATGTTGCAACGCAAGTGTTCGGTCTTGCTAGAAAAAGCATATGCGCTTGAAGTACCCTCACTGATATTTTGGTAGTGACTGCGTGAAACAAGAGATGCGCTCAAAATGGCTGCATCTTTTGCAGATCACATTTAGCAGTACGTGATGCTAACAAAACACGACCACGATCAGTGCCCTCAGATGTGCTTAGCCAAACATGCCAAGAACGTATGCCTGGAACACGTGGCAACAATTTCCACTGGCTCTTCTTAAACTGATGGAATGTTTCTAGCTCATCTGCATTCACACAGCAGCTTGACATTCTTGAGCTTTGCGCTCATTTGCGCCACCATTTGGGATGCTGACATAATCACAGCTGAGCTTGCCGCTCTAAGGTTGTAGAGCGTAGCCTGATGCTTTAGTAGGCCACCAACGCCGTCACAAGAGCTCTTGCCATGTCCTGTGGCCGAAAAAATCCACTTTGTTGATATATGATCTTTCTGACATAACTCGAACAGCTGGTACATGTTTTTGAAGTGACTGCATGCACCATCAGGAACATAAATAACATGCGTGTCAGGCTTAAGTTGTTCTTTCATATAGTTGTGGATTATTTGTAGAGCCTTTTTCTTCTTTCGGCAAAAACTCAACAGCTGTTTCAGCTGAGAAGCCATTAGAGGAAGACAGCATATCTCTGAGGCGTCTGAAGCAGTTCTGGCAGACGTGGTCGTTGTTATGTGCATGGGGGGCAGCTTTTGGCAAAAGCTTCTGGAGGGCAAACAGGCCGATGTATTCGTTCTTTGATAAGGTATTTTCTTTTTATGCAACATGAGCTAATCTGAACAAAAAACTCTATCCCGGCTGGAGTGGTCAGCCATCCCCACGCTCCTTGAGGCTCAAATTACTGGCAATGCAACTAAGCGTGAAACCAGTAGCACGAAAGTGATCTATCTGTCGTCTGTTCCTATGTCTCTCACCTTTAATGAGAGCAGTAGTAAAACAGCGTGCGCAAGTATCCGCAGTGTGGAATGCAAAACTGAAGTATAGTACGTTAAAATGAATTTCACAATGTTTTTGTCGATAAAATTACGGGAGGCGTAATCTTTGTTCCTACTTTGAACCATATGATCTAAAGCAATTCATCTGTAGAGCAGACGACGGATGACAACTTGCCCTAAAGCGTGTTCTTCAGTCTAATGCGACAGTCTTCGTGCCCCAAATGATAAAAATTTATTATAAATCGTTTATGAACTCATTCAACATTCAATTCTCTTACCCGACATGTTGCAAACACATGGCCGTCACAGCAGCTCCATCTGTGTGTCAGTAATGGAGAGGCACCACATATTAGAAGTCTCAGTGCTCTACGTAAAAGAGTGAATTCAGATACTTCACCAAATGCGGTCACGTTTACTCGCGTTCTAAGCTCATTGCCGCTTTTCTGTTCCGATTTCTAGATTTCTCAACTTGTCAGCGCATTCTCGAAAAGCTCTGATTTGTACCACGAATATTGTCGCTAAAAACAAAATAATGCAACATGTTTTTCTATATTACTGTATGATGGTTTTCTGTTGTCTATTTACGAGATTTTAAGAAAAAACGAAGATGGGATTTTTTTATTATTCAAATTTCAGTAGAGTACACTTTTGCCGTTATGAGAACTTTGAGGCATTATATAAAAATTCACATTTGCCCTATGGCAGCAATAATTTATGTACCTAATGAACACACTATATTCCTTAAAACGTGTCAAGTTTGAAAACGCTGCTTGCATTACTTTCAGAGAAAAAAAAAATGGGGAATACGTAACTTATTTTAAACTGTCACTAAATTAGACATTTTTAAAAGCTATTTTCTTAAGGTCTGCAAACTTGAAACCGTAAGAATTCATTCTTCATTAGACATACATTTCAGGTAAAAAATATCTTCCTTGAAACAAAAATATTTGTTTTTTTATAACATCTGCAATTTTCGAAAATGACAGGTGACGAAATTGGTGCCTCCGTGTTGGTAAAGTTTGATATTTTTTTCTCGTAAGTTATGCCGTTAATCATAAAACGAAGTTGACTTTTGGGCTACCTGGTGAGAGGCGCACGAACTATAAAATACTCAATGAAATCTAAAATATCAACTTTTGGATCTGTTTCGATCTCTCGTGGAACCACCCAACTTTGTTTAATGAGGTATAATTGTATTCATGATGCCAAACATGAGTATGCTAAGGTCACGCTTTTTAACATGTTAGAAAACGACCCTCTAAAATTTTGGAAGTCATAAATCCAAAAATAGTCACGTAGTGCCTTACGCTTCAAGAAGATGGTGGCATTGCTTTACCAGTACCTGAAAGCATCAAGGTTTTCAACGATTTTGGCACGGTATTTACAAAAGAATTATCTCTAGATAGGTCACTGCGAGGGGAGAGAAACCTGGGGAGGCGCATAACATGCAGTGATCGACCTGTGTTCTGTACAAGAACATGCCAATTGCTGCTCATGGGCAATGCTAGACAGAAGACTCCGATTGGACGCAGACTCGCAGCCCGCTTTAAGTTAACGTGTATGCTGCGAATTTTTATTGTTCATCAACGTACAGGAGAAGTCTCCCACTGGCAGTACCTTGGAGCTAGTCAAGATCCAGTGCCTATATATACCTTGTGACGGATGAACAGTTCTGTAGCGCGAGCGCTGCAGTCAGTTTTTTATAATTTTCACTCAAGAATCTTAATAACAGATGCTATCTATGTCAGGGTTGCAAGATGAGAGAGGAAGGTGTAGGGGAGAAGAGAGAGGGGACGCACGTGGGCTATGGGGGTGTGTACGTTGCTTGGAGGGATGCCTAGAGGAGAGAGAGGGCGCAATGAGCAGACACTTCTTGCTTTGGTATTGCGAAGTGAGAGAGGGAGTGCCGCACATGCTCTGTAAAGGTGGTCACGCCACACACCGGATCGAGTTCGACCATAAGACGCTTTGCATCTAAAAGTACATCCAGATTCGATTACACCTTCGAGCAGAACTATGCACTCTATACGCTTATCGGGCTGCGCAGGCATTATTTTGTTGTTTGCGAAAGCAGAAGCAATCCGTTTTTTCAAAGTTTAAATTGTGGAAGCTGTAAAAAATTCAGAAAAAGAAGTTCTGACCGCGTGCGTTTGATGGGCGTTTGTTTAGGTTCCTAAAGTTTAACGGCTCATAGAACAGAGTATTCCACTCCTATCAAATTTACTGCACCACCCTGATAATATACTCGGGAATTGCGACAAACTGCGCCAAAGTCGTGGGTCGTTTGTCACCGGCAGTAGCCATGCCGACGTATCAAAACATATACAGCTCGTTGTCGAGGATGCCAAAGCAGTCGCAACCACATATCTAAAGTTATTCCGCTGAATGAACAGCGCTCGGGCGTGCGTTCAAGTAATTTCTAGTGCCTACGCAGATTTTGTTGTTCAAGTCAGCTTAATGGCAAAATGCGTTCTTCGCAAGCGTGTAAGTGTGGCGGCAATTCACCGTCAGACATCACATGTTTCAATAGTCGCACTGCACCTAATTAAAGCAATTTTCACTCATAACTGCACATGGGCCACCAAAATGTCTGTCGCATCTGTTTCTGGACATCGCGACCAAATTTGCCGTGCTTCGCGTCCACAGAAGAGCACGTGAACGGTGGGAACGTGTTGACACTTTTCGTCTATTATATGGCATCCATGGATATTCATCCAGAACAGCGTTTTTGCAATTCTTTTCACAGCACATGCACGTTTGTAATTGCTCTTGCGATAAGTGCTTCGAAAAGAAAACTAAGGTCCTGCTCTTTCGAGCTCCTCAGTGCTGGGGTCTGAGTGTGAATTTTTGCCATGCTTTTAAAAAAAATGTCATCTCAATAATAAAATTGTGCCTCCTGGTCGAAGCAGCGGCAATTCGGTTTTAATTCGCGCAGATTTCAGTAGCGGGACCATCGCTGGCCCTGGTGACGGAAAGGCTACTGTTCAGGGGCTGCGCCCTGTTACACGTCCGCCCTTTGCTTTCTACGGTCAATAGGTGACTGTTAAAAGTGTTCAATATCACAGTATCGCATATTTACAGCGTCGTTCTAGTGGATGGGCAGCTGCACCGCTGGCTCGCGCTATCTCGAGACATTATGAGACTGTTAGTAAAGCTTGTGCTATATCGGGGTATACTTCACGTTTAGAGAACTGACAGCACGAAAACCGATTCGGCACCTTAAGTTTGCCATAGTTCTTGTAACCAGCATTCCGTTGAGTTACGCGAGATAGGGTCTAAAATGCACAATTTGTTAGTTTCGCTTAGGCTCTTAGCAATAAATGCGATGCCAACTAATTGTGTTGTTATGTGAAGTAAGGCTCGACGTAATCCACGAGGCACACTAGCGGCGGGTTTGCTATTTAGAAGGTCCACACACT